AGCTAAACAGGCATTAGCTAAAATGGTTCTAGAACCCGAATGGGAAGCCCGTTTTGAACCTCACTCTTATGGATTTAGGCCAGGACGTAGTTGTCAAGATGCCATGGAAGCTCTGGCTAGAGCCATTAGAGCCAAATATGTGCTTGACCCCGACATTGCGAAATGCTTGAGACAGGGCGCAGTGGTCGGCACAGGACCCATACACAAGAACAGCATACAAAAATCAAGATATGGTTCAGAACTTTCAAAGTATAAGAAGAAACAACAATAAGAGTGAAATTAATGAACTACAAAAATAGCCACCAGTAGAAAACGGTCTGAAAACCATCACATGGTACAACTGCAGTGTGCAAATCTCGTCATTGCAAACTCTTGACAGCACCACGCCGGAGAATCAAGTGAAACAGCATACCTCGGTACTTGCTGCTCCAGCACTTGAATCCAGCTCACCAGCAAATGCATAGGTATATCCACCCCATGCTTTCTTAGTAGACTACAGACTGCCCCAACCCTGAACCAAGCCATGGGAAAATTCCACCCAACAACCATGAGAACCCAGAAGAACACACCACAACTAGATTAAGAACAAGGTGCCAAAGAGTTTGGCAACAACACATCCATTTCAGACTGGCATTGTCTGGCAACATTATTCTATGGTAATCACAGACCCATACGTCAGATAAACCTGGGCAAAAACACAGACAGCAGATAGATGCTTGACGTCCAGACATCCGGACAACATCGGGATACATCCCCAGACCTCGACTGTCCAGATGGGTGCACGGGGCCCCGAATACATCCGGATCTGTGACGCACGTGCAGAGGCACGTGCGGAGAATATGATGACAGAGAGAGAGAGAGGAGGAATGGATACACACGAGAAGCAGCAGCTGAGTGAAGGTCCAGTCCGGCCGCATGAATGAACGAACGAACAGCATGAATGAATGAACCTCCCGCCCTGGGCCTAGGCCAAAGTGATATACCGGCCTAGGCCCAGGTACGGGATAACCTGGTACCGGACCAGGGTCAGGCCGACGGCCTGAAACTGGTCCGGCCTCACTGCCGGGCCGTAGGGGTACCGCTACAGGATCTGTAAAAATTTACTGAACAAATAGAAAATGGGGAATCTGAATCCTGAACAGATGACAACCATGATATATTAGCACCAAGGCACATCTATAATACCAGTGTGAGTATGCCCTCTCATGAGAATTTCTTCGACTTTTGAGAGGGCCAACAGCTCAGTGGTACACACATGTAACCATTGATGAACAGATTACGAGTTCAAATCCTGAGGGGGGGGTAGAGGGGGATTGAACCCCACACAGACCATGGTATCCCATGAACCCCTCAAACTGATACAGATGAGAGTGAATAACCAAAAAAAAAAAAAAAAAGAACTAAGTGAAAATGATCTCAGTGGTGTAACAGCCTGATGACGGGACACAATGGCCTGACAACCTAACGACTGTGCACAATAGCCTGACAGCCTGATGAACATGGGACAATAGACTGCCAGTCTGACAACGTGGCACAATAGCATGACAGCTACTAAGAGGTTATGTATGATTGTACACCAGCGCAAGAACACCAGTGCAATCGCTATACCCATGTATGACCCCAGAAGGTGATCAGCAAAAGAAGAAAGATGACGTAGTAATCAGGAAAGGCAGGGTGGGGCTGAATCAAAACATTTAGATATCAGATAGCACTTCTGCCCCCCCGGGGATCAAAATGACCCACCAGGAGACATTTAAATATCAGATAGCACTTCCCCACCCCCCAGGGATAAAATCGCCCATGAAGAGGGAATTGACTAAGGACTAGAACAAAAAAAACAAACAGTGAAGTACAGAATCTACAGATTGATTTCCCAAAAATAATGTCAATACCAGATTAATTGCCGAAGTGGACAAGAAGGGCTAGTGTGGTTCCGCACGCATCAAAAGCGAGTATGGTGGATGATGCAATGACTGGGAGAGAGAGGAGTAGGGTGGCCGTTACATCGAAATTTTGAAGGACAAGACGAAGTTGAAGACGATGTCTGAGGGCAGTGTTGCATGTTTTGAGAAAGTTACTTGATGTGCGTTAAAGCATAATGGGGGAGTAAAGGCTGAGGGAAAAAAAAGGAGAGATGGTTCCAAGAGGGAAAGAAAATCTGAAAACAAAGAAGGCGCAGTAAAAAAGAGTACGGCATTGGAAACACAGCTCAGCTGGACCCTTCTCATGTTTGAAAATGGAGTAGCACCGAATAACAATGATAAGGTGTTTTGCAAAGAGATGAAAGATGGAGCAGCCCGGCTACACTTGCGTCAAGAAAGGGAAAGGCAGAGCGGATCACTGATGTGAGAGAGAGAGAGAGCTGTATGGTGAGAGAAGCAGAGCGCAGAGAACAGAGAGAGAGACAGACAAAAGCAGCAAGAGCAAAAGCAAAAGAGAGAGAGAGAGAGAGAGAGAGAGAGAGAGAGAGAGAGAGAGAGAGAGAGAGAGAGAGAGAGAGAGAGAGAGAG